GCTGAACAGTTTCATAGACTTACACAGAAGCCCACAGCTGTGACCCTAAGGTGGCGAGGTGATGGGGGGAAGGGGAGGGCAACATGAAAAGCATTAGTCTCCACTAAAACTAGAGAAATGGAAGAGAAACATCCTTGTGGGAGTTTCCCACAAGATAGGGACCTAGGGGCGCTTGGGTGGCTCCGTCGGTTAAGCATCCAACTCTTGATTTTGGCTCAGGTCATGATCTCAGGGTCCTGAGATTCTCTCTCTCCCTACCCCCCTATATCCACCCCAGCACCACTCCCTCTCTCTCTCTCTAAAACAAACAAAAAAGATTGCGACCTTGCTCCAGGAAGAATCCCAGGCATTCTGCCAAGACTCAGACTGCAGTCAGGCCTGGCCTACATGGCTAGGTGCAAGGTTGTCAGGGGCCTTGGCAGAGAGCTTTCTATTACAAAGGAGAGATTTGAAAGACCTTACATCAAATGGTCACCAAGCTGGGATTTTTTTTTTTTAATAATTTTTTTATTGTTATGTTAACCACCATACATTACATCATTAGTTTTTGATGCAGTGTTCCATGATTCGGGATTTTTTTTTTTAAGATTTTATTTATTCATTTGAGACAGAGAGCACAAGCAGGGGAAGAGGCAGAGGGAGAGGGAGAAGCAGACTCCTCACTGAGCAGGGAGCCTGATGTGGGACTCGATCCCAGGACCCTGAGATCATGACCTGAGCCGAAGGCAGACGCTTAACCATCTGAGCCACCCAGGCGTCCCCCCTCCTTTTTTTTTAAATAGACTATTTATTAGAGTTTTGTTTTATTTTTACAGGCAAAAGCCTAATGTGGTATGATGCTAGGCTTTAGATTTTCCATAGGTCCTGAAGAGCCAGCAACAGTAATTTTGGAAATAAAGTGTCTATATGATATAAAGTTAGCTGCAAGTAACTATTCAAAATATGCCATACATATACATAAACATAAACCTATAATTTTAGAATTAAAGTATAGAAATTTATATTAATTAAATTATCCCAGAATTCTTTCTGAAGCAATATGAGAACAAATGATTGAGAAGCCCTTTTAATGTAGAAATATGTATATATGTCTATAAGTATGTATTAGGTGAAAAATATAAATAGCATTTTACTTTATTCACCGGTTTTTATTGAGCATCTTTTATGTCAAGCAATGTGCCAGATGCTATATACCTAAGAATGTTTCCTTCCTTCCTTTTGTCAACAGATAACAGTATTTATTGAATTCTAAGTTAGGGATAAAGCAGTGAACCAAAGTTCTAATGGAGGAGACAGACAATAAAACAAAGAAAGTAAAATATATAGTATATTAGGTGCTGAAAAGCACTGTGGGAAAAAAAGATTCAATGCAATCCCTATTAAAATCCCAATGGGTGTTTTTGTTGAATTAGAAAGACCCACCCTAAAATTCATACTGGATTTCAAGGAACCCCCTGAATAGCCAAAACAATCTTGGAAATGAAGAACAAAATTGGAGGACTCACACTTTCTGATATTAAAAACTTACTACAAATCTATAATAATCAAAACAGTGTGGTATTGGCATAAAGACAGACAGTGGAGTAGAGAGCCCAGAAATAAACTCTCACATATATGGTCAATTAATTTTTGACAAGGAGACCAAGACAATTTAATGGGGAAGGAGGTTTTTTTCCCAACAAATGGTGCTGGGAAAACTGGATATCCACATGCATATGAATGAAGTTGAACCCTTACTTATATCCCATACAAAAATTAACTCAAAGTGGGGCACCTGGGTGGCAGTCAGTTAAGCATCCAACTCTCAGTTTTGGCTTAAGTCGTGATCTCAACGGTCATTATCTCAGGGTTGTGAGATCAAGCCCTGCATCAGGCTCTGTGCTCAGCACAGAATCTGCTTAAGATTCTCTCTCTCCCTCTGCCCCTCCTGCTTGTGTGCTTGCTCTCTCTCTCCAAAATAAATAAATCAATCTTAAAAAAAAAAACAATTCAAGGGGTGCCTGGGTGGCTCATCAGTTGGGTGTCTGCCTTCAGCTCAGGTTGTAGTCCTAGGATCCTGGGATCGAACCCCATGTCAGGCTCCCTGCTCAGCAGGGAAGCAGAGAAGCAGAGAAGTCTGCTTCTCCCTCTCCCTCTATCCCTCCCCCCTGTTCATGCTTTCTCTTGCTTGCTTGTGCTCTCTCTCCCTCAAATAAATAAAATCTAAAAAAATTAAAATACAAGATTAAAGCACATCTGATCATCCCAATAGATGTTTAAAAAAAGCTTTTGATGAAATTCTACATCCATTCGTGAAAACAAATTTTGCCAAACTACAAATAGGAAGAAACATACTAAACATATATATCCACTGAAATAAGCCAGCTGCAGTGAACATACCACATTTGATGGTGAAACTCTGGAAGCATTACCTTTAAGGAATTATATACTACTTGTCCTATTCATTATTATACTCAGTTCCTGGCTACTGCAGAAAAGCAAAGAAAAGAAAGATCTGAGGATTGGAAAGGACAAAATGAAACTGTCGTTATTCATAGACTATTGTTTGCTAAATAGGAAACCCAAAATAATTTACTGAAAAATAATTAAAAGATTTATCAAGACTGCTGGATAAAGAGTCAACATACAAAAATCAATTCCCTTTCTCTGTACCAGTTACAAAAGGACTAACAATGAAATTTTTAAAAACATTCAATCTAACATAATAAAAAATTATAAAGTTACTTAGAAATAAATCCACATGGGGCGCCTGGGTGGCTCAGTCATTAAGCGTCTGCCTTCGGCTCAGGTCATGATCCTGGGGTCCTGGGATCGAGCCCCGCATCGGGCTTCCCTCTTGGCGGGGTGTCTGCTTTTTCCTCTTATCCTTTTCCCCCTCGTGCGCTCTATCTCTCTCGCTGTGTCTCTCTCTGTCAAATAAATAAATACAATCTTTAAAAAAAAAAAACACTTATTACCTCCTATCTTTTGATAGACTATATAATCTGCTTATTATATGTGTTATTGTCTGTAACCCCCTACCAGAATGTAATGCAAGGATAAGGATCTTGTTTGTTCTGTTGACTAATGTTTTTCAAGAACCTAGAACAGTGCCTTGCTCATATTAGGCACTCAATAACTATTTGAATGAATGAAAGCATGAATAAGGAAGACAGGATGGAATGGAATCAGGATAGTCACAAAGGTAAAGGTAATGTTCTATTTCTTAAACTGGTGGTAGGTTCATAAATGTGCCCTTTATTTTTAGAATTTTACATATATATCGATGTATGTATATTGGTTTGTAATCAATATTTAATAAATAGTAAAAAAAAAAAAGGAACTTGATTGTCCAAATTGACTCACTCCCGAAGGAAAGCTGAGTTTTTACTGTACCTAGTATATTATTATCACTGGGCAGAAGACATCAATATTTCCATTGTCTTTTCTCTCTTGTTCTGCAGAACAAGACACCATGGCTCTAGCCTCTGTTTATGGGAGGGCAACTCAAGAGAAGAACATGCTTTGAAAAGAGTTCTTAGAAGAACATTCTAGACTTAGAGAATAAAACAGAGCACAGTGTACCTTCCCCTTCCCCCTTTCCTGATTTCTTATAATGACTGTAATGCCCAAATGTCTCAGCTCTAAATACACCTCGATACTGGCGTTTGCCCCTAGTATTTCCCTACTGAAACACTGTTAGGGCTTCCTCAGCAGAGAAAGCACTCACTGTTCTGAAGTTGCTATTTGCCTTTGTACCCCACAGTATATCTCCCATCACCTGCAAATTTGAAAACTAAAAAATCCTGGCCAGTAGATTTTGCTAACATTTGCTTTTTGTCTTTTACTTAAAAATTCATTGATTATACCATGAAAGTATTTTTGAGGAGATTTAAAAACCAAGGGATTTACCTGAAAAGGTAAAGCAAAATTTTTAAAAGATTTTATTTATTTACTTGAGAGAGAGAGACAGAGAGAACACAAGCGGGGGAGAGAGGGAGAGGGAGAAACAGACTCCCTGCTGAGCAGGGATTTATTTTTTTTTCCCCCCTCTCCCCACTACGTGGGACTCCTTCCCAGGACCCTGGGATCATGACCTGAGCCGAAGGCAGATTCTTAGCCCACTGAGCCACCCAGGCGCCCCAAGCAATATTTTTTAAATGTAGTTTTATGCAAAAACAAGCTAAAATGTTTTGGGGCCTTTCGTCTCCACCACTTGCATTGTTATGTTAGACGTTTCAGATCGATGACTCTCTAAACCCTGAATTTGTCAGTTCTTCCAGTCACTTCGCTCCACGAAGGTTTCTTCTTAAAAGAGTCGGAAATGAACTCCTCCTATGACCAGGAAATGCTGTTCCAGTTCTTTGAAAACTTAATCAAATGTGAATCACAACCCCATTCTGTGTGTCTGCAGACTTGCAGTGACATTGGATTTGTTGCCCTGGAGAATGGGGTCAAACTGAATAGATGCGTGCTTCTGTGCCTTTACAATAACCGAGAGCTAGTTAGGGTGGTTGCAGCCGGTGTTCAGAATGTGTTTTTGCTTTTTAAAGAGAAGACGTCTTTTTCATTGCTGATGAATTGCGCCTAGAGATATGAGAGGAGGCTTGAGAGATCTCAAAAAACTGCCCTCCAGGTTTCTAGGAATTAGGAGAGGACAGAGGGAGATACATACCAAAAGGAATCCCCACTGAGGTCCGTGCCCTAGGGCGATTTCTCTGGATTTCCTGCAAACAACCTCTTGAGAAAGAATTGGGAAGCGAGCCAAGAGCGGAGAGAAACTCACTTAAATTCCCTGCTCCTCGCCTTTCCAGTTGCAGCCGCGCTGGCGGCTCAGAACCCTGGCGCGCCGCTTGGGACGCGGGCGGGCGCAGAGGTCAGGGCAGATGCCACTCACTGTTCAGCCCCGCCCCCTAGTACTGGTGGCCAATGGGAACCGGCTGGGTCCATAGCACAGCCAATGGGAGCCGGCGGGCGGAGGCGCGCCTCCATTTAAGGAGGCCCGCCGCACGGGCTCTTCTAGGGACCGGCGCCTCAGGAGTGCGGCGGTAGCTGAGTGCTGTCGCCATGTCTTCTTTGCAGGTGAGTCGAAGGGTGCGGAGGCAGCCCAAGAGGGCTTCCTCCTCAGAGGGAAGCGCTCGGGTGAGGCGTGGGGCAGGCGTGACGCCCCCGGGTGGCGGGCGACTCGGAACTCGAGTCCCGCAGTCCTCGCTCCCTGGGTCCCCCGCCCCGGAATTGTCCGGAGTGACCCCGCGGACCCTCCCACCCCCATCGCGAGCGCCCGCTTATTGCAGTGGGGACCGCACCGGTGCCATCTGTTGACGGCAAGCCGGGGCTCCCTATGGCAACACTTGTGAGCCCCGGGGATTGGTTACTCGCAAAGTAAGCGCTGGCCCCGGGGAGGGCAGACACCGGGCGGCCCTGCTCCGCCCGCTCTTTCCATCTGGGAGAGGGAGGCGACGGCGGCTGGGGTCCCACCCGCGCCCCCTCGCTCCTTGGTAAGGCAAGTGTTTTTCTGAACAGCAGAGATCTGTGAAACTACAAAATAGTTTTGCTGGTATGCGAAAAAATTTATGTTCAGGGTGGGAACTTTGGGGAAAGAGAACAAATATAAAGTAAGTAAAAACCATTAGGAATTCCTTCACCCAGGTGATAACCACTGCTAACATGAGGGATTACATTCTTGTATGTGTGAAAAATGTGTGTGTATATATGTGCCTGTGTGTGCTTGCACATGCATGTGCATGCATGTGTACATGCATGTGCATATGTGTGTATATACACACACTGATTCGATTAGACTCTTAAGTATATACAGTTTTGTTCCTGTACCTATCACTATATTAGGAGCATTTTTCATCATTAAATATTCTTCTAAAATAAAATTTGAAAAAATACCTGCATACAATTTCACAGAATGAGCATGGCTCACTTCTTTAAGGATTCCTTTTTTTTTTTTTTTAGATTTATTTTAATTTGGGAGGGAGGGAGGGGCAGCGAGAGAATCCCCAAGCAGGCTCTACATCCAGCGCAGAGCCCCACATGGGGCTCGATCCCAGGACCCTGAGATCACTACCTGAGCCAAAATCACGAGTTGGGCGTCTTAACCCACTGAGCCACCCAGGTGCCCCCCCTTAAGGATTCTTTAAGCAGTATGTTATGGTGATTAAAGGCACATACTCCAGAGTCAGCCAGGTTCAAATCCAAACCTCACCCCTTCTTAGTCTGTGATGTAGTTGCTTAACCTCTCTGTGCCCATTTCCTCATCCAAAAATGGAGGAGAGGGACTGTCAAGATTAAATGAGCTACGTGTATAGAGCAAGTAAAACAGTGCTGGCATGTAGTAAGTACCCAATAAGGAAAGTGTGTCCTTGAACATTTAGATATTTTTCACTTATGTAGGACAGATAATTCATATTGAGCTTTCCTCAAAATAATCACACCTTTCAATATCAAAACTGTATTCATTTTTAGCTTAGTATTTTGTTTTGTTTGGCAAACAAATGGGATTTCTAATTCAGCTATAATCTTCAAACTTTATTTTAAACTTACAATAGGTTTACTTCAGTAGCAAAACTTTTAGCAAAGCTGAGAGCCAGGTAAACTGGATGTATTTCTTTTTTAGAAGATGATGCTCAAAGGCGGACTGCTTCTTCAAGAAGCTACATCTTTTTGAGTCTTGTGGATTCACGATTTTACAATGGGCAAATAATTAACCCCTTTCCCTCCATGCATGTTTGTATGACTTAAGAACCATGCACTGTGAGAATTTATGATCTTCCTAATTCAGCTCCTCAATGGGAAATGACTGCTCAAAAAGGCTTTGTCAGGGTGCCTGGGTGGCTCAGTTGGTTGAGCATCCGACTCTTGGTTTCAGCTCCGGTCATGATCTCAGGGTTGTGAGATCAAGCCTCACATTGGGCTCTGCACTCACCGTAGAGTCTGCTTGAGATTCTCTCTCCCTCTCTCCTTCAACCCCTCACCCCACTCACACACTCTCTCTCTCTAAAATAAATAAATAAATCTTAAAAAAAAAAAAAGGTTTTGTCAACCTCGTATTGTGGGATGACCATGTTCTTTGGCTGCAGAAAGTAGAACTAGATTAGGTGAGAGTCACCTTCAGAGGCTATTTTCAGCTGTGATGAAATTGGAAAGGAAATTTACCCAGAGGCCAGGGTGGTGAATACTCCTAGGTGGTAAGAGGGTAGAGGGTTCCAGCTCCAGGAAAGCAGGATGCACCCCCTGTGAGTGCTGGTGGGGACACTGGGGTCACTACTATACCAGGTGTGGTCAGAGGGCCTTATGAAAACATGAACAGGAGAGAGTCTGGGGAGAGGCCTTCTGAGGGAAATGATGTACACATGCATTCAAGCGGGACACCGAGGCCCCAGCACTAGAAGAATGAGCTCAGCAAAGGCTGAAATTCCTCACCAAAAGCAATGAGCCCAGCTCCACAGTGGCACAGGGACATTACTGAACTCCCCCTTTGACCCAGAATGCTTTGGAATTAAGTGTAAACAACTGTACATTTCAAGCTGTTTCTCATCTCTGATAGTTTTCAGACCCACCTAATATCCACTCACTCATTGATTTATTCACCAAGGACTCAGAGGGGCTGGTACTGCCTACCAGTGCTCTCTGTAAGGCATGGATACTTACGCCTGCCCTCTGTTATGCATATATGGGGAAAAAATCCAGTCCCACTCGGCTTTCCTGTTGAGCCCTAATACATGCTGTCCATGCCACCTGGAACACCCTTCCATGCTCCTGTCCATCCAACAGGTGCTGTCCCCCCCTAAGTGCCATCTCTGCTGGGAAAGCTTCTTCCCCACCTGCTGACACTCCTGACTCTGCATCCCCAGAGGGCCCGCAGCTCCTCCACTGGAGCAAGTATCACATGATCATTGTTGACCTGCTCATCTCCCCCCAGAGCCTGAGCTCCCTGAGCGCTGGCTGCCCTGTTCATCCCTGTCTGCCTAGCAAAGGCCTGGTGCACCACAGGTGCTTCAATACATCTGTTAAGTAGTGTGAGTCAAGTGATGAGCTCTGGGTGGGCAGAGTCAACAGAACGAAATCAAGAATGTATCTGTTCTTAGTGGGATTTAATCTTAACACCTTCTCACTGAAGTTGATAGTATCATTTTTTTGCCTGAGGCTGAATCTCAAAGGAGTTTTGTTGCTTGCATAAAATACCATGGCATTGTATCTCAAAGCTAGAATTCAAACCCAAGATCCTGATGTGAGGCCAGTGTTCTTTCCTCTAGAGCTCATCGTGGTTGAACTGGGAAAGGCCCCATAGAGGAGGGTACACTGGAAGCACATCATGGAGCAGGAATGTATCAAGTTGTGGCACCACAGAAGGGCATGCTGGATGGAAAGAATGATCTTGGCCCCTGCTCTGGAAAAGGCTTCTGTACCCTGGAAGGGAGAAAGAACAGGGATCCCTGAAGTTGTGTGTGAAACCCTCTCAGGGCCTGACCTCTTGTGGAGAGGGTCCAAGACTTTCATTAGGTTGTCACAGGGTTCCATGCCCCACTCTCCACCCCACCCCGTATATGAAGAACAATTTCCCAGAAATTCCTTCTGGAAGGCAGGGACCTAGTATGGTTATTGAGAAGCCTTAGAATTCTCCTCGAGGCATGGCTTGCCAAGAGGAATTGAGTTGCTGTCACTGGAGAAGGGTGCAAGACCTCACAGCAAGCAGACGACCTGAGACGCTGGTAAATCTGAAGGGGACGATCCCTACACCTCTCTGAAGAGCCCTGCCCTTAGGAAGCCCTGGGCACGTATAGAGCATTTTCATTTTATCCTTATTACAGGCACACTATAGAACAGTTGGAGAGTACAGAAAGTGTGAAAAACCCAGAGAACTTACCAATAATCAGAGGCAACTATTTTCATATTTTAGTATATTTCTTGCTAGTCTTTATTTTTTCTATGTAACTTACAAAACTGAGTGTATAAAAACAATTTTGTATTTGTTAAAGTGTTTTTTGTGTCATTATGAGTACTTTTTTCCAGTTTTTTCTAGAATTAGTTTTTTTTTCCAAAAAGACTTAAAATAATAATGGTAACCTTTATTAAATATTCACCATGTCCCAGGCACTATTTTAAATATTTGACATGTGTTAACCTATTTAAATCTTCTTTACAACCTGGCGGATAGGTGGTATTATTGTCCTATATTCTGGCCGAGAAAACAGACACAAGTTAAATAACTTGCCCAAGGATACACAGCTCTTAAGTGATGAAGCTGAGATTATAATCAAGGCAGTCTGGCTCTAGAGCCTGTGTTCTTTTTTTCTTTTTTTTCTCTTTTTTTTAATTTAGAGAGAGAGCGCGCACACACGAGCAGAGGGAAAGACAGGGAGAGAGAGAGAGAGAATCTCAAGCAGACTCCGCGCTGAGTCTGATGTGGGCTCCATCTCACGCCCCTGAGATCATGACCTGAGGCAAAATCAAGAATGGGATGCTCAACTGACTGAGCCACCCAGGCGCCCCTAGAACCTGTGTTCTTTTTTTTTTTTTAAGATTTTATTTATTTATTTGACAGAGAGAGACAGCAAGAGAGGGAACACAAGCAGGGGGAGTGGGA